ATGGGGTTAGGCAGTTTTGTCGATATCAATATTTTTGTTATGAAATATTATTTTATCTAGTTTTAATTCATATTCTCCATTTTTTGAATCTCTTAAATCAAAATCTACACAGATGCTAAGACCCCAAAAAGGAAACTCGGGAGTTACGTCCAACAATACTCTCATAAATTTCGGGCTCTGGGGCTCCACACGATTGTAAAGGAAAGTTCAGAGGCAGCTCATAGATCGCTATGATTTTGTCGCAAAACAGAAACAAAGAACAAGACTCATAATCCCAATGTGAAATAAAGTCTTTTGCCTTGTATATAGTCTTTTAAAGGCTTACATAATGATTTAATGTCTTAAGTCTTAAGAGAAATTAATCTTAGCTCTTGTGTTTTTTAATCCCACTGTACTCCATACACTGATCAAGTATATAGAATACTTTCCCTGTTTTTCTCCTGATCCTGGCATGGGAGAGCCCTCCCAGCTCAGGTTAGAACCAGGATAAGCTGAGCTGAACCTGAACCTGGAGTAGGTTTATATTTATATCCCGGAGTAACCAGGGACAAAAACTTAATCAAGTTCCAAACTAAACTCCGGGAGGTGGATAGATCACCAGTAAAGAGAACAGGGAGGGGAGAGAGGGATGGGATGGAGGAGGAGGGGAGAGGAGGGAGGGGAAGGAGAAAGCACAAAAAGGAAAAATTACGATTTATTACATTGCTTAGGTCGTCGACCCCAATCTAAATATATCTAAGCATAGTGCGGACATAATGGTTTTTTATTTGGTGAATAATAACTCGCTTTAATCTCTAATTTTGAAACAGTTATATCGTTGCAACCTGATGTCACGACCTTTGTTATTTAAAATATTCGAATTCTGCTAGATCAAATAATCAAAAATATTCGAATTCTGCTAGATAAAATAATCAAAAATATTCGAATTCTGCTAGATCAAATAATCAAAGGTTTACATCATGAAAAGTAAATCTACGTTTGCAGAATAGAAATTGAGAATATAAAAAAAATTGACACAACCGAGCATATTATACCCTGAAATGGTTTATATTCAAGTAGATACACCGTTTTGAGCAAATAGATTATCAAGTACAATAGGTGGCAACAGAGAAATTAACCAATTATACACTACGTCACAAGTGTCAAATATAACAAGGAAAGCGAAATTTTCTCACATTAGTTGACATGTTTTCCAAGATTAAATAAAAAAGTGTAAAAACAGAACACATAAAATTGCACTTATTTTATTGTAAGAAAGCACTTTATTCTAAAACTATCACTATCATTGATGATTTTGTCGGACACAAAAACTGAATTGACACTTGTGACGACAGAATACAACTGTACTGAGAGTGTACAAATTCTACGTTGCCATCTATTGTACTAGAATCTATTTGGTTTTGAGTCATATTTTAGTAGATTCCATGACAGGACTTTCTGACAAGGCATTGGTATGTAAATTAGAGATTGTTGTTTAGATGCGTGGATATGTAATATGTTTAGATGAAAAAAAACATGAATTATTTATGTGCTTACTCTAAGGCGCGGTCTCACAATTTCTCATTTCATTCATCGTCATATTAATATCTTATATTGTTAAACCAGGGATAGATAATAACACAAAATTTTATATTTTTATTTTTCATTTATTATTTAATAAATATTAAAATTTTGAAATCAGATTTTTATTGTCTAACTTAAAAGTCGGCCCTGTCTCATTAAATACATAATAGTGGGTTGGGCAGTGTTAGGTTTCACATCAATTCAATGAATGCAATCAATCAATCAATTTTTGTTGAAACTTAGGCAACATGCTTCCATGTGTCCAAGGTATTTAATATATGTAAACAGCTAGTAAAGATGAAAAAACACATTAACTTTCGTGCCATGTTCATTGGAACACCACGTATTTTCTGTATTGTGTATGTAGATTGTATATATATAAATTACTTATGTAATCTATATGTCAATAATTTTCTTTCTGCATTTAATTCGAATTTTTTAATATCCATTTGAAGATGAATAATTAATATAGTTAATTAAACCCTGGCTGAATGATCAGGTTTAGATAATAGACATGAACTCCAGGGGTAGTCTAGTGCAGGGCTGAATAAACATGAACTCCGGGGGTAGTATAGTGCAGGGTTGGATAAACATGAACTCCGGGGGTAGTCTAGTGCAGGGTTGGATAAACATGAACTCCAGGGGTAGTCTAGTGCAGGGTTGGATAAACATGAACTCCAGGGGTAGTCTAGTGCAGGGCTGGATAAACATGAACTCCAGGGGTAGTCTAGTGCAGGGCTGGATAAACATGAACTCCAGGGGTAGTCTAGTGTAGGGTTGGATAAACATGAACTCCAGGGGTAATCTCTATAAATGCAGGGTTGGATAAACATGAACTCCAGGGGTAGTCTAGTGCAGGGCTGGATAAACATGAACTCCAGGGGTAGTCTAGTGCAGGACTGGATAAAACTGAACTCCAGGGGTAGTCTATAAGTGCAGGGTTGGATAAACACGAACTCCAGGGGTAGTCCAGTGCAGGGTTGGATAAACATGAACTCCAGGGGTAGTCCAGTGTAGGGTTGGATAAACATGAACTCCAGGGGTAGTCCAGTGTAGGGTTGGATAAACATGAACTCCAGGGATAGTCTAGTGCAGGGTTGGATAGACATGAACTCCAGGGGTAGTCTAGTGCTGGGTTGGATATGACATAAACTCCAGGGGTAGTCTAGTGCAGGATACGATGGTTTGAAACCTACAATTCTGGAGTAAGTTCCGATTCACGATTCATCCATTAAACTTTCTAACGTTGGCCATTACGGGGGTTCAACCTTCCTACTACAATCATTAAACTATATCATGAACAATTCATCATCCCTTTTTATCCGTGTTATCAGAGAGGTTTTAATTCATGACGTAGCGGGGAGTCATACATGCCTTAAATTCATTTGCCATGATACTATCATATTGTCCTAATCTCACAACTTCCATAATGGTTTCATTTCTTAAAATGTAGTGAACTTTACTGAGATTTTTTATTTTTGTCATTTAATTATGTATAGTTGTTCAAATTTTAGCATAAGCCCCTTATTCTGCCGAATTCGCAGCGGTCGCCCCCCCCCCCTAGCCACGGCTCCCAGTGCTGTGTCTCATAAGACATAGCCTAAACTGTAATTAATCGTAATTACCAAATAGATTATCAAGTGCAGGGTGTCCCAATAAACATGGGAATTCAGTGACGAATTCGATATCGTCTTTGTTATGAATTAGCATTGTAATACCTAATTTCAAAAGCCATAATATTATTATGTCTGCTAGAGTGTATTTTATGAAAAGGGTAAAAGACTTGTAAAGATGTGTTTATAATGTCTCCGCAAGATGAACAGTGAAGACGGACAAGTTTACTCTGCAATTTTCTTGTTTTACTAAGTACAACCGTATGCAGTCAAAACATAAACAAACAAATTGTAAACATAGCAGACGAAACTCTTACAGATTACAGCTTTCTCAGTAGGTATCACTTATACTAAATCAAAGAATTATTTAAAAAGACGATATCGAATTCGTCATTGAATTTCCATGTTTATTGGGACACCCTGTACAATAGGTGGCAACCGAGAAATGGATCAATTATACACGACGTCACATGTGTCAAATATAACAAAGAAAACGAATTTTTCTCACATTATTTGACATGTTTTTCAAGATAAAATGAAAAAGTGTAAAAACAGAAAATATATAACACCGTAAAATTGCGCCTTTTTCACTGTAAGATAAGCTTTTTATTCTTAAATTATCACTATTATTAATAATTTTGTCGGACACAATACTGAGTTGACACTTGTGATGTAAGAATACAACTGTACTGAGAGTGTACAAATACTACGTTATTTACCTTATTTGACAAAAATTAGTTTTATTTTAAAGGATTGAACACTTTAAAACATATGTAATTGAAGGAAGAGGATTTCGAGGTGGCTCTGGCGAAAATGAGGAAAATGTGACTTGGCCGCGAAATTGTCATGATTGGCCTTCCTTCCCTCGTTCCACTGTCTTCTACTTCCAATTGTGTAGATTGTCGTCTTCCTTTATTTTCTAATAAAAAATGTCTCTTAAAACTTTGTTATTTGAAACTGATATAAATGTTTCTTTATCTACTAATGTTTAGAGAATATTTTAATAAGTATAAAAGCAAGGAGTTAAGTTAGAAAAGAATGATGTGGAATTTTGTATTGGAGATTGTAGTAAAGAGAAATTCTTTGTAAATGTGGAGCAGACTTTATATTGATAGTAAACAGTAGAATAAGATAATCATAGACATGAGATAGAGATAACGGGGTTGCCCACATTAGATTTGCTTTAGATGTAACTGTAGAGATTTTAGATTTTTTAGTATTTTAAAATCTATAATAAATGTTTTAAATTATTGTGCTCTGGTATTACAAATGTTTTAAGTCATTATAAAGGGTAGTTTGTGTATAGAGGTGAATAGGATTAATAAAACGACTCTTTATGTCGTCTTTTCCTTGCCAAATCTTACATTGATAGAAGTTTATAGTCACATATTTACAGAGGATCTAGAGTATTTAGACACCTTAAGGTCGGATTTAACAATTTTGCATGTTAAAACCGATATGGGAAATATACCACGTGCCTCCCTATAAAGACAAGCAGTAGCTAGGTTCGTTTTTTAACTTAAACGGTTTTTTGGACTTCTTGAAATCTTAGAAGTACATTTTCAAAAATTGTTTAAATTCAATATTCTTTTTTATTTACTATTAGAGAAAATTTTTGCTTAGTTTTGAAATATTAAACATTCACATTTACAAGTTCAAAGTATTTGTGTGGTGCGCCTTTACAAGTTCAAGAACCTTAATTTCTAATTAAATGCCTATTACCACCTGCATGTATGGATAACAGGCTTTAGAGAACTAATTTCTAAAAAGTCAGTTTTTCTGAGGTCACCCAGTAAAATCTGGGGGAAATAATGATGACAAAAATTTGGTCGAAAAGTAAACATATATTTTAAAAATTTGATCCTATAAAATTAGAAATACTGTTATAAGAAATAACAATTGGAAAATTATCATAATGTAATAAATATTCGAAAATTATAACTTTAATATAAATATATAATTCGTTAAATTTTTATAATTTTTAGAAAAAGAAAACTTATTTTAAAGGCCGCTTGTTGGCTGGAATGAGTAAGTATTAGAATCACAGGAAGTCAAGTCTGAGTAAATATAGTTAGATAAATGCATTGTTTGTAATTAGGAATTAGAAGAGTGTAAATTGTAAATGTTTTTTTTCCGAACTAAATAATGTGTCTAGAAACGAAAACAGAGAAGTTAACATATCTTTTATGGATTTTTTCTTATTTGAGCAGATTTTGTGAAGACAACACGAAGCAGCATAGTTGTTTGGTTTTCAGATAACAGGTTTTCAAGAGCAGCTGATTTGAAAACAGCAGGAAGCAGCATAGTTGTTTGGTTTTCAGATAACAGGTTTTGACTGGATTTAATGAAAAATCTGTCCAGGCTTCTGTTGCATGTACTGCTGCTTCTGTTTTATGTACTGCAGCTCTTCGTAGATTTACTGGAGCTTCTCTCTAATGATATTCTCTAGAACCACAGCATCAGCAGCAAACTTCCTGATACCCTACAAATATATCATATTAAAGAGATTGTTGGCGTAAATTAAGCCAACTAGCAGGTATCAATATTCTCAATTTTGAATAATTTTTACCACGTTGTTTATTAATTTGACGCTTATTCTAGGAATTACGGATTATTGTAGTTTTGCAAGTTTCTCGATTGCTTCCGTCTTCGAAATAAGCGCGCATATTATCGCGTTAAGCGTTTTGACGTGCATTTATAGTGTATACGCAAAAAAGTGTGACATAAATTTGTAAATACATTGAAAAATGTTTTTAAGACGTCTAACACCTAAGAGCGTAGTGTCCATACAAATTCACGTATTTTCCCACTCAGTTCGTAAATAATTAAATTAAATTTAAAACTACTCATTCAAATATACCTTACAATTGTGGAATTCAATTTTATGTATTCGTATATAATTGATAATTCATATTATTTTTTAAATTAAAAAAAAAAATATTATGAAATATCAACTATATGCGAATGCATCGAATTGTATATGACAATTGTTTGTTGTAATGTATACATGTGAATTGATATGCATGAAAATAATTGAATTATTTACGATCTGAGTGGAAAAATCTACGTAAATTCCTATAGGTCCTGAGCTCTTCGGTATGAGTCGTTTTTAATAATTATCTCCTTATAGACGTAACAGTTAAAGTAAAATTAGTAGTGATCTATATCGAATTCTATTCGAGGTCAAACTATACCCTATTTCATTTTTTTTTTGCAAAAACTCCCTTTAACAATTAATATTAGATCTAGTTCTAACCTCACTGAGCTTGTTAACAGCCATCTCGTCCTCGTTATGAAGCCAACGGAAGCCGGCCTCGTCAAGGTTCAGTCTCGGAACCTCCAGGCTCTTCGCAGCTTCGGCATTCAACTTCACGGGCACAGGATCCTACAATTAGTGTTTAACTTACAATTTAATACGGTTTTCAAAAATCAAGTTTTATTGGAAAAACAAGAAAACTATTAGAAGTATCGTTTGGACCAATTTTTCTGTTAGAGTGTAATTAAAATAAAAGTTTTAGAACCTACTAATTTTAAATATATTTAACTTGATATTTCCAATTAGTTGAGTTTTGCATTTCAATATTATCTTTTTTGATCGATAAATTGGCTCAAACTGAATTAAAAAAAGCTTTCCATTTAAATTGATTAAATATTTTACTAAACAAAAAATCTGAAAAATACTTTTAACCCCGCCGTCAATTTTAATTTTAAAAACAGACTACATTTTTGAGATCCCAAGGATAGAAGATTCTGTACCAGTTCAAAAATTGTCTTTGATATATTCAAAAAAAATGAAATAGAACTAGTTGAGTATTTTATCATTAGTGTCCCAAAGTTTTTGTAACTGTAACTCATATATAACCCACCTTCAAATTATCAAGTTCCTCCAGTAGACTTGGAGATATGGTCAGCAGATCACATCCGGCCAGAGCCAATACTTCACCTTAATATTAACTTACTTCAATAGGTTTAAAATCATTGCTCATTACACTTAAACAGTGCTAAGGATCCATTTAGTTTTTATCCGGATCCAGATTCAGAAAAAATGGATCCGGATTCAGGTCATGAACATTTCTTTAAAATTTAATGATTTTTCTAGAGAAAGAAGATTTTTAAAATTATTTTTCTTCTTTTTTTTCGCTTATTTCTATGCTCTCACAAGTGTTCATTCAGAAATAAAAATAAATTTTTAATGGATTTGGGGTTTGAGAGAAAAATAAAAACAGACATATTTCTCAATATTTTGAAATTTATAACTAATATGTGCATAAAATGTGCCTTGAACATTTTTACACAGATATCATGCATTAATTGTACAATTACAAATTACAGCCACATTTCTTAATTTCTAAAAAAAAGAATTAAAACATTAATCATTACACTATTTTCTGAATAATAAATAATAAATAATTTATAATAAATTTAAATCCGGTATTTCTTTTCTACGAAACAAAAATCCCCAAAATGTCGCCAAAAAATAATCTCTTATGCACTTTCTTTACTGTGTTCTCCCTAACAATGTGCCGTAAACCCCCATACCTCTTTCTAAACAACAGGAACCTCCGCTGATTATCTATCTTTCTTCACCTAACCTGAGACTGAATTCAATAAATTTGAACTGCTCACCACCAGCTCAAATTTGAATCGCCGAATCAAATTCTTCCTGAGGCCGGATTTAAACTAAGTCGGGGCTCAAATATGGTTGGTTCCACATAAAATTGTATTTAATTTTTAAGATTTAGGCTGGCACTCAATTGAAACCGTGTTTGGGGTATTTCATACGCGGCTTAAATTCATTAAATTCGGAAACCGAATCTTTAACTTTGAATCAGTGGTTAAAGGGGGGGGGCCACAAAACGTATTACTCTCCGGAAAATTTAAACAGTGGTTAAACATAACTTAGAATTGTCGTAGGAGGCTGATTTTTTGCATGCAAACTCAGAATTATGTATATTACATGCAATTTTTGGTTTTGAAGGAATCTGAGCAAAAGTGCGCGCGCGCGCGAGCTTTTTGTGAAAAAATGCGACTTTTTTGACAGTAAATCATTGCATGTAATATACATAATTCTGAGTTTGCATGCAAAAAATCAGCCTCCTACGACAATTCTAAGTTATGTTTAACCACTGTTTAAATTTTCCGGAGAGTAATACGTTTTGTGGCCCCCCCCCTTTTGAACCAGCAGTAGGTAGTTTAGCGAAACAACTCATTAATTAATTAATTAACACAATTTATTAAATTTTGTCCCTGACTAGTATAATTACAGTAGGTCATTCACCACTAAAATCCACTATTTCTTCGGTCAGTGTAGTTTAGGGAGGGTTAGGAGGGGAGGGGGTTACCTGTATTTCTGAAGCTAGCTCCCATAACAACAGTCTTGTATCCATGCTGCTTGTAGTAGTTGAATATCTTGGTCACAGACAGAACTCCGGGGTCGTCAGTAGGACCGTAGGTTTGTCCTACACAAACATATTTTATCATGAGGCAGGCTCATTTCAAAACAATTTTGACAACCCATATATAATTTAGCAAGCATTTCATTTCTAATCACAGAGGTATTCTTTTATACATCCTGTACTGGTGTTCATTCAAACAAAACGTAGCGTCAATCCGTAGAACTCCCCCCCCCCTGGGGGGAGGGAGTTCTAATCAATTCAAACTGTGGCAATTCAAGTTGGAAAGAGCTAGTTCAACTTGTTCTCGAGTTCAAAAAATATGTTTTTCTTTAATGCACAATATTTGTTGGTAACCTTTACCTGTTTTAGCTTTATAATAATCCATAATCCGACCAACAAAGGGAGATATTAAAGTTACCCCCGCCTCAGCACATGCAACAGCCTAGATAATTAATACAAAATCAGGGGTGTATATTTTATTAAAAAATGATTTTCGCTAAATTAGGAAAAATAAATAATGAAATTATTGAATAAAAAGTATCAAAAGGATGAAAACTTGTCTTATAATGAACAATTTTTCATTTTCCCCCAAAGATAATCAACCCCCCCCCCCCCCCCGGGACGAAATTCTTAAAATGTTTAATTTCATGATAATAAATATGATACATATGATTTTTCGGCCAGTTTCAACAATACAAAAATTAATTAGGGCAAATTCCTCATTTCAAGATCTCAACCGAATAAAAAAAAACCTTGCAGATTTCAAGAAATACCTGCGGACCAAAGTGGTATTTACCTGGGCAAAAGAGAAGAGAAGGGTAAGATTGCAGTGAATTCCATGCTTACTCTCTAGTTCTCTAGCTGCCTAAATAAAAATCCCGAGTTAGCATTTTAAATGGTCTCATAAATGATAATAAACCACGAGACAATATTTTTTCTCCCTGAATCCGGATTAGAATGACTATCCACGATCACAAAAATCAAATATTTTGTTCCATTCAAGTAAATCACTAATGCTAACAACTGAGATTGGGAAAACTCTCCCGGATGGTCAATCCAGTTTTAGAACAATAATTAGAAGGGAAACTATTATTTTTAACTTTAATAAATTATTTTAATTAAATTTTACAATATTTTCAAATATTTATAAACTATCAGATAAAAATATTTCTTGTTCTTCATTTTCTACTTGTTTGTACATCTTTCATACATCTTACATCTTTTAATCAAAAAAATTCTAATCTGTTCTAGTTTCTATTGTTGGGACAAAAATATCCAAAAAAAATTACTTAAAAAGAGAAAAGAAAAGCCAAACCATAAAAAATATTTAAAAAAAAAATTAACTCGACCAAGAAGAAAAAGAAAAAATGTTCTTTATTTTCAATCTTGATGCACTAGATATTCGTAAATATTGAATATAATATTTTCTGTACATTAATGTGACATATGCACCCTTAAAAATATTATGACAACAATATGAAATTTTCTTACTCCGCCAGGAGTCCTGAAAATAATCCAAACATAAACATATATCAGCTTATTTTTGATAAAAAGAATAGAAAAAGGATGTCCTTGTAATTAGCCACTTTACAGGAAAGAACTATTTTAAAAAAGATCTTGCTTATTTCCGAACCATGTATTTTTTTGAACTAGCTGATAATCTGACTTTCTTTTCTCGGAGCTCTCGATGTTGATTTCTTGGGGGCATGGTGTGGGGGGGGGGGAAAGTGAGCAAGTCACTTTACACTTTTCTCTCCCCCCCTGGCATTACTTGCTCATGTTGGGGAAAACTATTAAATTACCTGAATACCCTCCCAAGTGGAGCTAAGCTTGATGAGAACCCGTTCCTTGCTCACCCCAGCCTTCTCGTACATGGAGATCAACTTCAGAGCTTTCTCTATCTATACATTATACAATTATATGTACAGGGAGGAAGAACTATCAGGAATAAGACCTGAATTTATTAAGGAATGAAAACGTAATTTTATGTGACCCACAATATATAAAACGGCATATCCGACTCACAGCGGTTCCCTTAAAAGCGCTGTCTGATCTGGAATGACCGAGATAATCATTTTATTTGTGGTTTTCCACACAAGAGACTTGAAAGATTTCTTGCAACGGAATCAATTAAAAGGTTACTGCTGTAAATCGGGCATAACCTTCTTTATCTGAAAGGTCACTTAAAATCACGACAAAAGTCCTTTTTAAGATTGTGATCATGGGTATATATTCTCTTAAAAAGGCACCTACCCGGACAAAAGGAACGAGCGCGGAACGCCAAACAATAAAAATATATGTTTTTCTTTTTATATTTATTTTTTTGAAATTGTTGCCTAATAAATTATTTGATTTTTTTTTTCGTGCTGATTTGGAATAAATGTATGGGTGAAAATAAATGAATTATTGGCCGGGTAAATAAACAAAAAGAGAAAATAAACCCGTCAGTATGATATTGGGTTCCCGGTTCTAGACATTAGTTAGCCCTTTAATTAGTTGAAATGATGCCATTGAGGATTAAAAATAGAATTTTTCAAATATATTTTAATGTAATGTATAGTGTATACTTTTCATACCTGCCTCTCTTTGTCGAAAGAGAGCCTCGCGTCGACCTCAGTCGACACCCTGCCCTCGACAACCTTCAGGATTTCAGAACCAAACGCGACAAAAAGTTTGTCCATGGCAATCTCAACCTAAGAACATTCTGTCAAAGAATATGTGAGGAAAAATGTAAATTTATTGCTAACTTATTGATATTTCTATGGGAACTAATATGATTTTTACGGAAAATAAGAAGGTAATACAATACCACAAGAATGAGAACCTTTAAGATCCAAAATTTCGAACTGTAAGGGAAAAATTAAAAGGGGGTATAGGCTGAAACCTAAGCATTTTAGGAGTTGATCAAGACCCATAAGAGTTCTATCTGATGTTCCTGTCTCGAGAAATTGATGTAGAACTGTGTCAAATTAAAAAAAAATTATACATATATAAAATTTTTTGTATAAAAATCGTAGGTTTAAACAGATCATATTCAGCAAATACGCAAAAGTCTGAAAACTTAGGTTTGCTCTTATTATCATTTGAATTTAATAATTTTTCATTTTTAATAGATATAATTGATAGTATAATTATCATTTAATATGTACATATCACGTGACCAGAACTCCCACCCATGGCAGTGCAGTATCATGGTTATGTGTCTCCTCTGAACCCCTTTCATTTTTTCTTTACAGTCCATTCAAGAGAAAACAAAACTGTTTTATGTTTCAAAAACTTACTTTTCTTTGACGTGCATGAGATGCAGTGTCTAAAAGCAAAAAGGTGAAATGCTAACTAACCTGTTCGTCAAGAGTAGCTCCAGCTTTAGCTTCCTCAAGAGCTGCGTCCACAACACTCTAAAAAAGGTAAAATAGAAAAGAATGAACTGATTATTCACCTCAAACTTAAAAGGACCTCACTAGTCTCCTGGAGTTAGTAATAACTCTTGTAATAATAGAGATAAATGGTGCTAACTTTGCACCTATATTCTTTTAATCCATAAGGGGCATAAAAATATTTCAAATTTTTTTTTTCTTAATCAGGGGCGTAGAAAGGGGGGTATTTGGCCCAAAACAGGTATTTATATATATAAATATTTTTTTGCCGATGTATCATTAGTTTTCAAGATTTTAGGCCTGAAAGAATATTAGACCATGACAAAATAGTCTAACAAGGACAGATTCAGCTTGCAGGAGGAGTCCTGTATGGTTCAGGGGCTAAAAAGCCAACAGTCAGGGGGGTCCTTTGATCCACATCAGCCTCCTGAAAAATGAAGAGGAATCAGTGCCAATAATGCAAAATTAAATAAAAAAAGGCAAGTAAAATTCTAAAAATGTTTGTAGTTATTTGAATTGATAAATCATAAATATATACTTCTTCAGGGGCGTTAAGCGGAAAAATATCACTAAAACACTCCCCTCCTGGATTTCATTGGTCTAAAAGTAAGAAAATAATAATTTTATAATATTTTAAACCATACAATCCTTTAGGAAGTGTCTTCAATAGCTTAAAGATCCAAAATGAACCATTTTTATCAACAGGGGCGCCTAGAAATCCAATATCACTGAACACCCCCCTCTTGGATTTAATTAGTCAAAAACTGAAAAAATAATAATTTAGATTATTTTAAACCATACTATCCTTTAGGAAGTGTCTTCAATAGCATAATGATCCAAAATGAACCATTTTTATCAACAGGGGCGCCTAGAAATCCAATATCACTGAACACCCCCCTCTTGGATTTCATTAGTCAAAAACTAAGAAAATAATAATTTTAGATTATTTTAAACCATACTATCCTTTAGGAAGTGTCTTCAATAGCTTAAAGATCCAAAATGAACCATTTTTATCAACAGGGGCGCCTAGAAATCCAATATCACTGAACACCCCCCTCTTGGATTTCATTAGTCAAAAACTGAAAAAATAATAATTTTAGATTATTTTAAAACATACTTTCCTTTAAATATCAACTCTCTATGTAAAACTGTGGAGTCCTTCGATTTTCCTGTGTAGTCCTAAAGTTAGGATACTTCAAAAAATAGGAAAAAATCGTCCTAGAGCTTATTCCTTTGACACCAGCATTCCACCAGTCATGGGTGGTGTTCATGAACTGAGAGTGGTAAATTATCTCAAGTTTTGAGGGTGTGGGTGGAGTTTAAAAAAAAATTGTCATAACAAATCTTTGACCCCATACGAACTTGACCCCCTGACACCTGACACAAAAACTCCTTTAAGTAAAAGTTGTAGAGCATGGCCTGAAGGTGTTGTAAAAAATCAATCGGACCACTTTTGAGGTAAAAGCTGATACTTAGAAGGGAGTCAGCCAATTGTCCACTGACCTACTTAACTGTAGAACTCCAGTTTATCTTCAGTTCTAGATACCAATCTCAAAATTGTCAATTAACATGTCAAAACACTGCCACAGTGTCATTTATCAAAATAAATTTACCACCAAGGTGGCAAAAGTTTTGTCTGGTTATTGTGTTTCAGAAAAAGTTTGTGTTGGGTGGGTGGCTTTTTTGGCTCCTGAGCAATGGGGTGTTCAATACATGTACATCTAAAGATAAGCTAAAAATGTAGTTTTTCCACCTCCACTTAAAAACTAAGTGTTCTAAGTAAAATTTTATTGTCTAAAAAGTTGGCCCTGTAGCAGACCTTGATGGGGATATTTATGTTTTTCCCCTAAGATAAGTATAACCTCTACAATATGAGGATTACTGTTTTTAGGTATCTGATTCCTGTGTAGTCCTAATAGAGTGCCTGTCAAGGATTTTGGTCCTTTTTGGAAAATTGATTTAAAACCCACTCCACAACACTTTACGATCTTGATTTTTTTACTGTGGCATTACAAAGTGATGATAATGATAATTAAGGTGTTTCCACTCATCAGGTTTGACTTTGGGTGTGGAAAAAAATAATGATAAAATCATGAATTTTACATATAAGGCTTAGTACTGTATGAAATTTTGGTCCTTTTTGGGAAAATGATTTATGACACACACCACAACACTTTAGGATCTTGATTTTTTTATTGTGGCATAACAAAGTGGTGATGTTGATAATTGTGGAGTTTCCAATCATAAGCTTTGACTTTGGGTGTGAAAAAAAAATATTACATATAAGGATTAGTACTATAAGATATTTTAGTCCTTTTTGGGAAAATGATTTAAAACACACTCCACAACACTTCAGGATCTTTATTTTTTTACTGTGGCATTAGAAAGTGGTAATAATGATAATTAAGGAGTTTCCAATCATCAGCTTTGACTTTGGGTGTGGAAAAAAATAATAGTAAAATCATGAATTTTACATATAAGGCTTAGTACTATGAGACATTTTGGTCCTTTTTGGGAAAATGATTTAAAACACACTTCACAACACTTTAAAATCTTGATTTTTTTACTGTGGCATTAGAAAGTGGTAATAATGATAATTAAGGAGTTTCCAATCATCAGCTTTGATTTTGGGTGTGGAAAAAAATAATGATAAAATCATGAATTTTACATATCAGGCTTAGTACTACTAGAAATTTTGGTCCTTTTTGGGAAAATGATTTAAGACACACACCACAACACTTTAGGATCTTGATTTTTTTAACCCCCCTTTTCGGTATGCAACCTCACCTTTATATTTTGTTTGAGGATTAGGTCAGATTAAGATATTTTCTGGGACAAGCAGTGGGGTTAGAACAGGCTAGGGGGGCCGAGCGCTGCAGTTAGAACAGGCAATTGGGAGTCAAGCACCGAGGCTAGGTCAAAGTTTTAAATACCAGGTTGCATAAAAATGTTAGAGGAGGTGTGGGTCTAACTCACTCCCTCTTAAGAACTACACAGTTACTATTAGTTCGGGAATTTTTTAATATTATTCCTTGTATTAAGATGATGGAAGTGTTCATGATGATGGAAGTGTTCATGATGATGGAAGTGTCCATGATGATGGAAGTGTTCATGATGATGGAAGTGTTTGTGATGATGGAAGTGTCCATGATGATGGAAGTATTCATGATGATGGAAGTGTCCATGATGATGGAAGTGTTCATGATGATGTAAGTGTTCATGATGATGGAAGTGTTCATGATGATGGAAGTGTCCTTTATGATGGAAGTGTTTGTGATGATGGAAGTGTTTATGATGATGGGAATCCTAATGATGTTCTGAAGATCCGTCTGAGAATGAGGAGGATGATATTCAAAATTATTTGCAAAATGCAAGATATTATGATGAAGATGATGAAAATGAGAATTCAGATGATGAAGGTATCTTATGCTAAACTTGTCCCAACTATTTTAAAGATTTACTCAATATAATGATGTTTAATTGTAGAACATTTCAGTTTTGTACTAGCTTGAGAACTCAACTTTGCCTGGAAACTAAGTTTTCCTTTTTCCTACTTAAATTAGAGCTATATATAGATAATTTAAACTAAAACTTTTTTTATGTTTATAGCTGAATGTATGTGTATCAGCACAGTTCAGTTATATATAATAATAGGAGATTAATGAAGGGAAAGATATAATTCTTAGAAAAAAAATATGTTTCTTTATTGATCAAAACGAAGATTGATTGACAGTATTGAAACTATGGGCTGTTCCAAACAATAAATCAATGACTGCTTTTCATCACTTCCAAAGATTTTAAGAAGGCATGTGGGTCTCTTCTTCCCTAGGGACCCTAGAACTCTTCTCAAGTGTCCTGAATTTGTTCATGAAACCATACCTTCAGGATTAAACAATTTTTTTTTGAGCCAACTAAATTAATTCTTAGAAAATTGTTCAATGAAAACTATGACAAGTTCAATGAGAGGCCAGTTTTTAAGGTTACAAATGTTCTAACTGAGTTTCCTGCAATGTTTCTTCTTACCATGCATATAATATCATCAAGTTTATATACTCCTAGAGATTTTTTTACACTAAATGTAGATCTATTTTTAGTTTTTTTTATGACATTTTGAACACTCATACCATATCTTAGTAGATCTAGATTTCCTTGGAGAATACTTCTTTCCAGGACTTGAAATCTTTGGTACTTTTACTGGTGTTTTTATTATTTCAGTCGATTTCCTCTTTAACTTGTTCATTTCTGAATTTTCCATTTTTGGGCTTTATTTATCTGGAAGTAAAACACAAACAATTAACACTTTGAACTTATTAAACTTAAGAAAATTAACTTTTAACATAAAATAGAGTTTTGAAAAATATCGAGTTCAAGGATTTGTACAATAAATGAAGAAAAAATTAAAATATTTAAATAAACAAAAGTGTCATATAAACAATATAATATTGTCAGATCTTTAGTTTTTATTAAATGAAGGGAAATCAAAAATCAGTTTAAAACTTTCTTACATTAAAAAAAGTAGGAAAAAATAAGAATACTTTATCTATACATAGGTTCAAATCAGTCATCAGATTTTAATGTAACTTTAAACTTAAAAAAAAGGTTGAATTATTGCCAAGATGAAATTCATTAGAAATTAGGAGAATTAACCTATCCTCTAAAAGATTTTACCTTTCTTGCATTTTTTCTTACAGTAAATACCAATTTTGACCTTACATTAACACTTTGCTCAAGAGGGATGGAGAACCAAAATGCCAACATATTGGCTGAATCAAAGTTACTTTTAAAACTGTGTCCACACCTTTCAGAATACTGTTCGATCAACACAAAAGACTGTTTAATATAAGAACTTTAAGCACTAACACATTTTAATACGAATTAATTTCTAAAAATTTAAACTTTTAAACATAGAACAGATTTTTCTAGATATCTTGATCAAGTGTTGCATTGATCAAAATATTGTCCATACCGGAAAAATCTCATAAAAAAATCTTATATTTATTTTTTAATTTGACATCTGATATCAAAATCAAGCTTGGTTGATAAGC